TTGGGGTAGTTTATAGATGGAGTTGGGATAGTCTATATATGGAGTTGGAGTAGTTTATAGATGGAGTTGGGATAGTCTATATATGGAGTTGGGGTAGTTTATAGATGGAGTTGGGGTAGTCTATATATGGAGTTGGGGTAGTTTATAGATGGATTTGGGGTAGTCTATAGATGGAGTTGGGGTAGTTTATAGGTGGAGTTGGGGTAGTTTATAGGTGGAGTTGGTGGAGTTGGTGGAGTTGGGGTAGTCTATAGATGGAGTTGGGGTAGTCTATAGGTGGAGTTGGGGTAGTTTATAGGTGGAGTTGGGGTAGTCTATATGTGGAGTTGGGGTAGTCTATAGGTGGATTTGGGGTAGTTTATAGGTGGAGTTGGGGTAGTCTATATGTGGAGTTGGGGTAGTCTATAGGTGGAGTTGTGGTAGTCTATAGGTGGAGTTGGGGTAGTCTATATGTGGAGTTGGGGTAGTCTAGGTGGAGTTGGGATAGTCTATATATGGAGTTGGGGTAGTTTATAGGTGGAGTTGGGGTAGTTTATAGGTGGAGTTGGGGTAGTCTATATGTGGAGTTGGGGTAGTCTATAGGTGGAGTTGGGGTAGTCTATAGGTGTAGTTGGTGTAGTCTATATATGGAGTTGGGGTTGTTTATAGATGGAGTTGGGGTAGTTTATAGGTGGAGTTGGGGTAGTTTATAGGTGGAGTTGGTGGAGTTGGGGTAGTCTATAGATGGAGTTGGGGTAGTCTAGGTGGAGTTGGGGTAGTTTATAGATGGAGTTGGGATAGTCTATAGATGGAGTTGGAGTAGTTTATAGATGGAGTTGGGATAGTCTAGGTGGAGTTGGGGTAGTTTATAGATGGAGTTGGGATAGTCTATAGATGGAGTTGGAGTAGTTTATAGATGGAGTTGGGATAGTCTATATATGGAGTTGGGGTAGTCTATAGATGGAGTTGGGGTAGTCTATATGTGGAGTTGGGGTAGTCTAGGTAGAGTTGGGATAGTCTATATATGGAGTTGGGTTAGTCTATAGATGGAGTTGGGATAGTCTATATATGGAGTTGGGGTAGTCTAGGTGGAGTTGGGATAGTCTATATATGGAGTTGGGGTAGTTTATAGGTGGAGTTGGGGTAGTCTATAGATGGAGTTGGGGTAGTCTAGGTGGAGTTGGGGTAGTTTATAGATGGAGTTGGGATAGTCTATATATGGAGTTGGAGTAGTTTATAGATGGAGTTGGGATAGTCTATATATGGAGTTGGGGTAGTTTATAGATGGAGTTGGGGTAGTCTATATATGGAGTTGGGGTAGTTTATAGATGGAGTTGGGGTAGTCTATAGATGGAGTTGGGGTAGTTTATAGGTGGAGTTGGGGTAGTTTATAGGTGGAGTTGGTGGAGTTGGTGGAGTTGGGGTAGTCTATAGATGGAATTGGGGTAGTTTATAGATGGAGTTGGGGTAGTTTATAGGTGGAGTTGGGGTAGTTTATAGGTGGAGTTGGTGGAGTTGGGGTAGTCTAGGTGGAGTTGGGGTAGTCTATAGGTGGAGTTGGGGTAGTCTAGGTGGAGTTGGGGTAGTCTAGGTGGAGTTGGGGTAGTCTAGGTGGAGTTGGGGTAGTCTAGGTGGAGTTGGGGTAGTTTATAGATGGAGTTGCTGCCACACACTTCAGTCTCCCTGTGTGGGGAAGATCAATATGCCCAGACTATTTTTACAAGCAGTGATGACACTGGGGACTGCTTGGCTGTCGTAAGTCGGCCAAAACTCAAATAAATCTGAAATGTATTAAAAAAACATTGCAACTATTGAGCTGAGGAACAGTGTGTGTCCAAGGACAAGCACCATCATACCCAGTAGATTTTATAGTGTGAAACATCCCATCGCTGCCAGTATCAAAACCCTTTGAAGGAAGAAAGTGGGACAGAAGTTGACATGTTTAGTTAATGTGATATTCAAATCTATTTCCTGTTACCACTCTGTTAATAAACATCAACATTTATCAACATTTAGTAATATGTTCCGAAAGTAGAGAGAGCAGTTAGCAGCAAATCCTAACATGTGGGTATACAATAAACATACTGAGGATTTATGTTTCGCATCAGTCTCTGAGGAGAAGCTTTCAAGTTCTCCCAGCTTCATCTAGTGAAATGATATCGTCAACCAGGGAAATAAGCGTTGAATGCTCACAGGGTTCATCACACAAACTCTCTACCTGCCCTCATTTCTTCAGGAGAAAATGCAGAAATATTATTACATGGTTGAGGAGTTTTCACTTGCAGCTTGTATTGATCTTGCTTTGCCTGTTCCAACAGCTATATTAATTCCCTTGATTGGTTTTCTCATTCTGTAGCAAAGCGGATACAGTACCGTGCAGGGAGTTTTTTGTTTTGCCGTAGACATTCTGTTAAGTGTGTCAGAATTGCATTCATTCAAATTATTACTCATCCAGTTAAGTGGCTTGGTTGGAAAGTCTCTTCAAGATCCAAACTATCATTGTAGTATTTCAGTGGTCCCTCTATTCAATTGCAATTACTACAGCATTGCAACATTCTCTACTTTTGTCTGTTTCGGATTTCCTCTCTTATCGCTATTGTTGCACTATGTTGGTACCCTGTTCAAGATAGCACAAATGAGTAGAGTGCTAAACATGTCTTTGCTTTGTGCACCCTGCGGACATCTTTTTAATATCAGCCACATTACTCAAAAAAAGCTGCTGCACTTGCACACAAACGTTCCGAGCATCATGTAAATGTAGGGATTATCTTTCAAGTTAGTCCATTCCCCCCCCAAAAAAAAACCTTGTCAAGGCTTGGTGACGTTGCGCAGTCAGTAAAACATTAAACAAATATTTGCAAACTGTACTTCATTAATTGCATGTTCCTTCTAGTTGCATTACATAATGCTCACAGGTAACTCATTATATACTTTTGCCACGACTGTACAAAGATTGTCTTAGGAGAAACAATTCAATAATGGTGTTTGTTTTCCTTTGAGACCATGGGGATTTTGGCTGCTCTAGATATTTTTCATAGTTTGCTTTGAGACTTCATACTTTCTTTATATAATCTGCCTACTTGCCACCCTGGTATATTTTCGATGTGTCAAGGCAACCACATAAATGTTAGGACTTGTTGATGCATTGAATATCACTTCCATCTAAACTGAGGTAAACTACTGTACATAAATCAGACCCCGTTACTTTACCCTTATACACTGAACAAAAATATAAATGCAACATGTAAAGTGTTGGTCCCATGTTTCATGAGCTGAAATAAAAGCTCCCAAAAATGTTCCATATGCACAAAAAGCTTACTTCTCTCAAATGTTGTGCACAAATTTGTTTCCATCCCTGTTAGTGAGCATTTCTCCTTTGCCAAGATAATCCACCCACCTGACAGGTGTGGCATATCAAGAAGCTGATTAAACAGCATGATCATTACACGGGTGCACCTTGTGCTGGGGACAATAAAAGGCCACTCTAAAAGATGTCTCAAGATTTGAGGGAGCGTGCAACTGGCAAGCTGACTGCAGGAATGTCCACCAGAGATGTTGCCAGAGAATGTAATGTTAATTTATCTACCATAAACCGCCTCCAACGTTGTTTTAAAGAATTTGGCAGTACGTCCAGCCGGCCTCACAACCGCAGACCACGTGTATGGCGTCGTGTGGGCAAGCGGTTTGCTGATGTCAACACTGTGAACAGTGTCCCATGGTGGCGGTGGGGTTATGGTATGGGCAGGCATAAGCTACGGACAACGAACACAATTGCATTTTATCGATGGCAATTTGAATGCACAGAGATACCGTTACGAGATGCTGAAGCCCATTGTCGTGCCATTCATCCGTGATTGTCGTGCCATTCATACAGTGGTCCTCTGTAAGTCAGCTGGTAGAGCACGGCGTTTGTAACGCCAAGGTAGTGGGTTCGATCCCCGGGACCACCCATACACAAAAAAAAATGTATGCACGCATGACTGTAAGTCGCTTTGGATAAAAGCGTCTGCTAAATGGCATATTATATTATTATTATTATATCCGCTGCCATCACCTCATGTTTCAGCATGATAATGCTGTCGCAAGGATCTGTACACAATTCCTGGAAGCTGAAAATGTCCCAGTTCTTCCATGGCCTGCATACTCACCAGACATGTCACCCATTGAGCATGTTTGGGATTTTCTGGATCGACGACAGCGTGTTCCAATTCCCGACAATATCCAGCAACTTCGCACAGCCATTGAAGAGGAGTGGGACAACATTCCACAGGCCACAATTAACAGCCTGATCAACTCTATGCGAAGGAGATGTGTCGCGCTGCATGAGCCAGAAACTGACTGGGTTTCTGATCCATGCCCCTACCTTTTTTTTAAAGGTATCTGTGACCAAACAGATGCATATCTGTATTCCCAATCATGTGAAATCCATAGATTAGGGCCTAAATTATTTATTTAAATTGACTGATTTCCTTATATGAACTTTAACTCAGTAAAATCTTTGAAATTGTTGAATGTTGCATTTATATTTTTGTTCAGTATTTTTAACCTCATATACACATCCAACAATGCTAAACATTTCCAAAACATTCCTTTATTATAAATAAAGTATTTGTATAAAAATGTGCATGCTTAAACCATGGCATTAACAGATTTTACAACTCAAGGCTACAATTTAGTTAGCCGATACAGACAGACTCATCTTGTAATGCAGGTCAGACGACATGAGACAAGAATTAGAAATCTTCACAACCACAAAATACATACAATTAGAATAACATCTAACATGGTTGATCCCAACAATTAATTTTTAAATGATCTTTTAAATGAGGTTTTGTTTTCCTCCTCTGGTCACCATCCTCTTTTCGTTAAGTCTCTTGGATGGTTTGTTTACTGACCATATCTTTTTTTTGTCAGCATCTAGCAGGCCCATTATCTCTGTCTGTGAACATGAAAGAGCAGACATATTTATTTTGGCTGCCACCCTCTCAGACATCATTTTGACTCTGATCAATATCAATGTCTCATGCTTGTTGGAAGGCCCTGTCATGTATGAATCTGACACATCCAAGTCTGCATGTGGAATTCCTCAGTAATCCTCTATTCAGAGCTTCTGTCTTCAAATGGCATGATTGGTGTAGCTGACATATGTTGTTTTGGATGATGGCACTGTAAAGGCAAAGAATGGAGATGTTAGTTTCCTAGAGTGTAGTGATTCCCTCTGTACTCAATGTATTGTTTGCAATCCTTCCCTCAATGCATTACCCCGTAACTGAACAGTCTTGATGAGAATGTTGAGGATACCATGGCTTTCTACCGTCGACCTAAACTAGTACAGTTGGCCATGTGGGATTATTAAATCACTCACAATTAAGTTTAATTTTCCAGATGTATTCATGTATTAATTGGAGAAATTGTCCATAAATAGGCAAAAAGCAACAAAGTTTTAGAGATCAACCTGTGCAGTCAGCACAATCATGATAAGTAAACAACCGGATGCTTGCCTGTATGAAACTTCTGCTGACGGGCTCAGAAAGGCCTTTGAAGTCTAAATCTGAGTGATGAACAATTTTGCCTAATCAGTTCTCAAGTGTCTTTTTAACTATCTTAGATGAGAACATACAAAACATTTCAACAAGCTGATTTCAACAACAATATTTCAGATACTGCAGCTATAGCTGAGGAACTGCAGTTGATTTTACTGTATGTAGAAATTCCAAAGCCTGTTGCCAAGGCCGTGGTTGTAACTAACATGGGCTACACAAAAATACAATTATTGGTAAAAAAATTAAATGGGGGCGGTTGTATAATACAGTGGTTACCAAATTGTCGGGTGCCACCAACAAGAAACAGTTTGTGTCATGGCTTGAGCCCATAGAAAGAGACGTGGCGGGCGCAGGAGGGGTGAGGAGGGGCGCGGGATGTTCACCAATGCTGGAAGGCGGGCCTGAGTGAAAAAGTTTGGGAACTCCTGGTATAATATGTTAAGAAGGGGATCAGATCACGTCTTTATACTCACTGCTGGTGTCCATGCCCTCGCAGAGTTCGGTCTTCACCTCTCCGTTGGGTCGCTCGGAGGCCAGCTGGGACAGCTTGCTGGTCATGGTGGCGACAGTGACGATGGCCTTGAAGCTGCGCTTGCGCTTGGGGACGTTCTGCTCCGGGTGGAAGATGATGATGTAGACCTTGGGCATGTAGAGCAGTCCCAGAGAGACGCAGGCGCTCAGGCTGAGGGAGACGGTCAGCGTGGCTGTCTGGATGTACATCTGATGAGAGACACATGGGGGGGGGGGGGGAGAGAGATCAGTCAATGAGTCTGAGGTGCTTCAAAGAGAGTCCTGGGGAGGGGAACCTTTGTGATCCCTGACACAGCAGCGTGTATCAATCCAATCATATTGCATCACATTACAGAGTTGATTTGATTTGTATTTCGGTAGGTGCTCTTTTCTCTTGAAGACTTATTGTCAGTTTAATAGTGAGGTCTATTCAACGTGCTGGGCTCAAACCCAAACCAACCGTATACAACCAAGTTGCTGTTCACTTGTTATGCACAGCGTGTTCACATGGAACGTTCAACTCACAGTACACTATTACACTATTCAGGTTTCTTATAACCACTTAAAACAAACTCATCTAACCACTGACAACCCAGGTGAAGTACCCCGACCGCATGCACACACATCCAGTCTTCTCCCACCTACTAAGCTGAACCAGGCATTACAAGCTCATGTTTCCTTGACTTCCTTCCAATGTTACAGTAACGCAGTGCCTGTCAAGAACCGCTGACACGAACACGCCTGCACCAAACAATCCTGCTTAGAGACCACCTGAGTAGTCATAGCAACAGGCTTTAGAAACGTCAACATAGCTAATGGCCCTCTCATTGAGCGGTAAACCGACAGTGAGAATTCTCAGAGGGCGTTTGCTCAGCCATATCTGTACAGTTAGAGTGTGGTAGAGAATGAAAAGGAACTGGCAGATGGCACATCTCCCTTGAGTCTAAACATATCCACAGAGGAAGCCATTCCATCACACATCAAGGTATTATTAGGAAAATGTATAGTAGACATTTAAGCATAAAGCCATCTAGAGGGCCTTTCGATAAACATCTAGGAATTATTTATATTGTGACAAAAAAGCTTATATTATAGACTAACTGTTGGCCGTATATTTCAAGGTCAACCATACTGGTGCACAAACATATAGCCATTTCTTAACCACTTATAAAGGTGATAATATTATCTGTGGCCAGGTGCCAGTACTCATTTGGGTACCGGTACTGTTTATATTTAGGTGCAAGAGCTCCACAATACTTTTGAGCTCATAAAGAGGAGCAGGAGCTCTAGCAGTAGAAGAGGAGCTGGTACTCTATAAAGAGGAGCAGGAGCTCTAGCAGTAGAAGAGGAGCTGGTACTCTATAAAGAGGAGCAGGAGCTCTAGCAGTAGAAGAGGAGCAGGAGCTCTATAAAGAGGAGCAGGAGCTCTAGCAGTAGAAGAGGAGCTGGTACTCTATAAAGAGGAGCAGGAGCTCTAGCAGTAGAAGAGGAGCAGGAGCTCTATAAAGAGGAGCAGGAGCTCTAGCAGTAGAAGAGGAGCAGGAGCTCTATAAAGAGGAGCAGGAGCTCTAGCAGTAGAAGAGGAGCAGGAGCTCTATAAAGAGGAGCAGGAGCTCTAGCAGTAGAAGAGGAGCTGGTACTCTATAAAGAGGAGCAGGGGCTCTAGCAGTAGAAGAGGAGCTGGTACTCTATAAAGAGGAGCAGGAGCTCTAGCAGTAGAAGAGGAGCAGGAGCTCTATAAAGAGGAGCAGGAGCTCTAGCAGTAGAAGAGGAGCTGGTACTCTATAAAGAGGAGCAGGAGCTCTAGCAGTAGAAGAGGAGCAGGAGCTCTATAAAGAGGAGCAGGAGCTCTAGCAGTAGAAGAGGAGCAGGAGCTCTATAAAGAGGAGCAGGAGCTCTAGCAGTAGAAGAGGAGCATGAGCTCTATAAAGAGGAGCAGGAGCTCTAGCAGTAGAAGAGGAGCTGGTACTCTATAAAGAGGAGCAGGAGCTCTAGCAGTAGAAGAGGAGCAGGAGCTCTAGCAGTAGAAGAGGAGCAGGAGCTCTATAAAGAGGAGCAGGAGCTCTAGCAGTAGAAGAGGAGCTGGTACTCTGTAAAGAGGAGCAGGAGCTCTAGCAGTAGAAGAGGAGCAGAAGCTCTATAAAGAGGAGCAGGAGCTCTAGCAGTAGAAGAGGAGCAGGAGCTCTATAAAGAGGAGCAGGATTTCTAGCAGTAGAAGAGGAGCTGGTACTCTATAAAGAGGAGCAGGAGCTCTAGCAGTAGAAGAGGAGCAGGAGCTCTATATAGAGGAGCAGGAGCTCTAGCAGTAGAAGAGGAGCTGGTACTCTATAAAGAGGAGCAGGAGCTCTAGCAGTAGAAACATTGAGGTGCCGGTACTCAGCTCCGGTGAGCGCCTGCCCAAGTCAAGCACAGTCTGTTGCTCAAACCCCTTATCATTCCTTAAGGCTATCTTAACTGAATCTTTTGGCTGCAGAGTGTTTTCCAGTGAGTCACCAGTCGGGGCTGGTGGCAAGTCCTAGTTTGAACCAGTTCAGAAGCCTCTTTAGATCTATAATAAGACTGATGGGGTGGGCTTCAAAAGGCAAGAGCTGAGGAACGATCACCCTCGCTTTTAGGTCAGCCAGGAATCTGGGGCAATGAAGCTCAGTGACATTTACCTCCAGAGACTGGCGATGTGGCCATGGCAGAGAGAGAGCCTGGTGATGTGGCCATGGCAGAGAGAGAGTGGTGATGTGGAATTGGCAGAGAGAGAGCCTGGCAATGTGGCCATGGCAGAGAGAGAGAGCCTGGCGAAGTGGCCATGGCAGAGAGAGAGCCAGGCATTGAGGCCATGGCAGAGAGAGACTGGTGATGTGGCCATGGCAGAGAGAGAGCCTGGCGATGTGGCCGTGGCAGAGAAAGAACCTGGCGATGTGGCCATGGCAGAGAGAGACCCAGGCATTGAGGCCATGGCAGAGGGAGAAACTGGCGATGTGGCCATGGCAGAGAGAGAGCCTGGCAATGAGGCCATGGCAGAGGGAGAAACTGGTGATATGGCCATGGCAGAGAGAGAGACTGGTGATGTGGCCATGGCAGAGAGAGACTGGTGATGTGGCCATGGCAGAGAGAGAGCCTGGCGTAGCGTCCATGGCAGAGGGAGAACCTGGCGATGTGGCCATGGCAGAGAGAGAGCCTGGCAATGAGGCCATGGCAGAGGGAGAAACTGGCGATGTGGCCATGGCAGAGAGAGAGCCTGGCGATGTGGCCATGGCAGAGGGAGAACCTGGCGATGTGGCCATGGCAGAGAGAGAGCCTGGCGAAGTGGCCATGGCAGAGAGAGTGCCAGGCAATGAGGCCATGGCAGAGAGAGACGGGTGATTTGGCCATGGCAGCGAGAGACTGGCGATGTGGCCATGGCAGAGAGAGAGCCTGGCGATGTGGCCGTGGCAGAGAGAGAGCTTGGCGATGTGGCCGTGGCAGAGAGAGAGCCTGGCGATGTGGCCGTGGCAGAGAGAGAGCCTGGCGATGTGGCCGTGGCAGAGAGAGAGCCTGGTGATGTGGCCGTGGCAGAGAGAGAGAGCCTGGCAATGTGGCCGTGGCAGAGAGAGAGAGAGCCTGGCAATGTGGCCGTGGCAGAGAGAGAGAGCCTGGCAATGTGGCCGTGGCAGAGAGAGAGAGAGCCTGGCAATGTGGCCGTGGCAGAGAGAGAGAGAGCCTGTCAATGTGGCCGTGGCAGAGAGAGAGCCTGGCAATGTGGCCGTGGCAGAGAGAGAGCCTGGCAATGTGGCCGTGGCAGAGAGAGAGCCTGGCAATGTGGCCGTGGCAGAGAGAGAGCCTGGCAATGTGGCCGTGGCAGAGAGAGAGCCTGGCAATGTGGCCGTGGCAGAGAGAGAGAGCCTGGTGATGTGGCCGTGGCAGAGAGAGAGCCTGGTGATGTGGCCGTGGCAGAGAGAGAGCCTGGTGATGTGGCCGTGGCAGAGAGAGAAGAGAATGACTACTACACACATCACAAGCACATTATGGTCATAAGCACACTGTTTGGAATGGAAGTGGGGGGAAATGGGGAGGAGTCTAACTGAAAGTACCAGTAGGTATGGGTATACTGTACATAGGTATGAGGATGAGATTGGTTTTTGTCATAATGTCATTAAACTGGACTTCAGTCTTCTGCTATAAAAAACAACAACATTATGATGTTGTATCAGTCTATCATACACTCAAAAATTGGTTATTTGGTAACCCAGTGCTTGTTAAACAGTGGACAGAACACACGCTAGGTTATTTTGACCCAGACAGTTGTGTTGTGTGAATAACCCAACATGTTGGGTTAATGGGATTACCCTAACATGGGTTAATTGAACTATCAGTTGTAGTTTTTTTTAACCTTCAATTGGGTCTTTTTTTATGTAATCCATAGGTTATTTTCAGAAGGTGTGGCCTATAAGGGGTGTGGCTTTCATATAGTTATTTTTGGCCACCCATGAATGTAAATGTCATTCCTGTTCATCATGTTAAGTTTGTACACTGCAATTGTTAATTTTCCTTGAATATCTTTGCAGTGTTTTTTGTGTAGTCTGTAGTCTAACTGTCTTTATTTAACTCCATGTCAATACCTGAATTACCATATCTGACCTTTCTTTTTTTATGACCAACTTTTTTGTATTTCTTTTTTTGTATGTATGTGTTGGGCTTTATAGATTGTTTATTTGTGTGTTTTGGGGTTTAGCTGAAATTATTCTTTACAGAGTCAAGTACAGTATATTTGTCTAGGCCTCAATTGTTCCTTGACTAGCACCATTCATTCTCGCTGTCGATAACTCGAATGTTATAACTTTTAACATCCATTGGCAAATTGGGAGAGAGTGGGGTGATTGCCATCTAAGAGCCAACATATTTTTTTGCGGCTGTGCTGCCTGCCAGTAGTAATCGTCTCGGATTGAGATTCAAGGAGCCATCATTGTTAAGTAACATACCTGATGCAACACATTGAATATTTACATCCATGCACTTCGAAATAGTTTTTGTAGCTTTTTCCCACAACAATTTAACTGCAGGGCACTCCCACATCATATGAAGGAATGTGCCTACCTGATTTAGGGGACACAGTGAACAGTTGGGAGTTGGTGCCAATTTCATTGTAAAACTTTCGTTTGGTGTTAAATGCAGTCTATAAACAAACTGAAAATGTATAAATTGATGGTTCGGATTACGGGATGCCAAGGTCATATTTT